ATTAGGCGTAATGATAAGATAATGATATTTTCTGATATGGTGTTTCCCCTCCGTACTTATGCTATGAAACTGGATAGGCCATTCATTGATGGACAGACTCCACAGAAGGAGAGAATGAAGATACTTAAAAACTTCAGACACAATCCTCAAGTTAATACAATATTTATATCAAAAGTAAATATTAATTATTAAAATTATTATTATTATTATTATTAATTTATTTTTGTAGGTTGGAGACAATTCCTTTGATCTTCCTGACGCTAATGTACTCATACAAGTAAGTTATTAATAATTATTAATAGTTATTAATGGTTATTAATGTTTGTTGTATTTCTAGGTATCAGCTCATGGTGGTTCAAGACGTCAGGTACATTACCGATGATGTAATGTGATGTGATCATTAATGTTACTATTTATAGGAGGCACAAAGGCTGGGAAGAATATTAAGAGCCAAGAAAGGTAAATATGTACTTATGTACATGTATGTGAAGCAATGAATTTATGAAAGTTTATGGCTACAATGTACATGTACAATTATTTTCCTTTCTCCTGTAGAGTCCATAGCTGAAGCCTATAATGCTTATTTCTATTCGCTGATCTCACAAGATACCGAAGAGATGCATTTCTCAACCAAGCGGCAAAGGTTTCTCGTTAATCAGGGATACAGCTTCAAAGTCGTCACTAAACTAGCCGGCATGGAGGCTGAGACTGACCTGGCATACAGCTCTAAGAAAGAAGAAGCAGAACTGCTCCATCAAGTGAGGGAGAGATGGTTAAATACATGTATAATAAATAAAGATATTTAGTAAATAGTATGCTGTAGATAGAAGTGATGATTTCTCAAGTTACATTATGTACATGTATATTCTCTCCCTCCCCTCTTTCTCCAGGTTTTAGCTGCTTCTGATAGTGATGCTGATGAAGAGGTCTTACCCACGTCCGGAGGGGGTCAGGGGAAAGGGCGTGGCTTTGAGAGGAAGGCGGGGTCAATGGCGACAATGTCAGGCGGTAACGACATGATGTACATGGAATATTCAGCAAGAGCAAGACCACAGCATCCTTTATTTAGACTGAGACACTGAACTAATGTCATCGGCTAATGTATTGTACTGTATTGTATCATGTCATGTAACTATCATGTGACGTTAATTACATGTACATGTACATGTAGGTGTATAGAATTAGAGTATCCACTTTTGGCGGAATACAATTTTTATAATGACACAGTCAATCCAGTGAATGTAGCAAATTTTGAAA